CCCTCCCACACACAACCCACACATTAACACCTCCATACAAACCCCACACACTAACCCCACACCCTGACCCCACCCAAACCCCACACCCCACGCACCACCCACACCCTGACCCCACACACCCCCACCACCCACACCCTGACCCCACACACCCCCCACACACACTGATCCCAAACACACACCCTACACACCAACCCCCTGCCACACATACACCCCACCCACCATACACACACACCACCCTACACACACACCTCTACCCATACACACAACCCAGCCCCGACACACACCCCGCCCCCCCACCTCCCACCCACAAACACCCAATACACACACCCCATCCCTACATATATACACAACTAACACTCACCCCACACAACCCACACCCGCCAAAAACACACTCCATTCCCGCACACACACCCATCCCCCCAGCCCCCCACACACACCCCATACGCTCACCCCACACGTACCCGTATATCCATCCCACACCCCCCAACACACACCCACTCCTACCCACACACCCCAAACCCCACAACCACCCACCCATGACCCCCGCACACACCCACCCCCTCCACACACCACCCCCATCCGGACACATAACCCCACACACCCCACCCCTACCCACAGATACACACATCCCATCCCCCCATACCACATCCCACACACACTCCACCCCCACACAATCCCAAAGCCACACACACACACACACACACACACACACACACACATCCTCCACACCCTCCATCCACCCACACACACCAGCCCAGGAGTGGCACGGACCATGGAGGGAGGGGTCACAGACCCCACCTCCCAGGAGGGGGAGGGACCAGGTGCAGGGTCTGAGGGGGTAAGGCTGAGCGGTTTCCCGGGAAGTTCCAGGGAGTTGAGGATTTAACAGACGGCTGGCAATGTGCCGCTCACCCACTTTCCACAGCTCGCAGCTCATGTGGGAGGGGGTCCCATTGGTTGGCCTTGAGTTTATAAACATTGTCTCCCCTGTCTACTTCACCAGCCTCCCCCCACCCCTGCACCTGCTGGGATCTTGCTGTGCTCCTTTCCCAAGCCCAAGGGTCTGGAGAGTGGCTGCCCTCTCAGAAATTCCCACCTTGTGGAACCGCCCAGCTGCCTCTGGGCCTGTCAGTCAGCCCCCTGTCTGTGGAGGAGCTGGGGCAGGGGGTGCTGAGGTTGGACTGGACACAGTCCCTGCCACATTTCATCTCTACAGAATGAAGCAGTGCAAAGGAGGCCATTTGGTCCATTCTGCTTGTGCTGGCTCTTTGGTGGATCAGTCAATTCAGTTCCTTCCTCTCCTTGACCCTCCCCTGTCGCCCTTCAATGAAGTTTATTTGTTACAAATCAAAATGTTTTCAATGCAGCACATTCCACATCCCAGCCATAAGTATCTAAAAGGTTCTATTGACGATTGTTAAATATCTTCACTTATTTAAAGTGAAAGGTGAATAGGTGTTGTGCATTGACCAGTTATTTACACTAGCCTGTGTATTATCTTAGAAATAGGAGCAGGAGTAGGCCATTCAGCCCCTCAAACTTGCCCCCCTGTTCAATAAGATGATGGGCAAACTGTTCCAGACTTCACGCCTCTATAAATAGAATCCCTACAGTGTGGAAGCAGGCCATTTGGTCTGTCAAGTGCACACTGACCCTCTGAAGAGCATCCCATCCAGACCCACCCCATTCCTGTAACCATGCATTTCCCATGGCTAATCCATCTAACCTGCCCATCTTTGGACTGTGGGAGGAAACCGGAGCACCCGGAGGAAACCCTCGCAGACGCGGGGAGAATGTGCAAACTCCACACAGACAGTCGCCTGAGGGTGGAATCAAACCTAGGTCCCTGACACTGCAAGGCAGGGTGCTAGCCACTAAGATGCCCCTTTTAAATGCTGTCTTAATCTATCCTTGAGTATTCAATATTTAATTGAACTTTTAAAAATAAATCCACACAAGAAGTAGGAGTCGGCCATGAGTGATTTGGTTGTGACCTCAGCACCATTTTCCTGTCTGCCCTGACCTTGTCTCTCTCAATGATCAAAAATCTGTCTAACTCAGCCTTCAAAATCTCCTGTGAACCATCCTCCAGGGCCCTCAGAAAGAGAATTTCACAAGCCCAACATCTTCCAAGGGAAAAAAAAATTCTCCTCATCTGCCTTAAATGGGACCTGTAATTTCTAATCTGTGTGCCCATTTAAAAATCTACTGGTACTACACAAAACTGTAAGGAGTGTCAAAAACATTCAACTGTTCTTTAGAGAAGAATATCTACTGTATGTAGCCAACTGGGCCTGTATGTGTCTCCAGACCTACTCCAACATTGTTGGGTTCAGATATACATCCCTATGACTAATTTATTCTTTAAAAAAAATTAAAGGGCACTGGAAATTTGATTTTTTTATTCTTATTCTCCCATTTCTTCCCTCCAGGGTTACGTTCATAACTCTGAAAATGCAAACCAGTTTTATCACGGGCAAACCAATCAAGATCACTCGCTGTTTGCCAATCTGAACCAACAACTGATTAACATGGGATTTCCGCGTTGGAATCTGGGAAATCAAGTCATTGAGCCACTCGTCTCTGTCCTCTTGATTCTGTTGCTAATGATGTTCGGAATGCGTGGTCTTCTCCTCATTGGTGGGCTGTACCTCTTTTCCCGATTTTACTCAGCGGTAATTCAGTGAGTTGCAGAGGCTTTTTTTATTTGACTCTGTACAAGTCTACGTGATTTTTTTTTCCTTTTTCTTCCTACTTATAAAACTGGTGATCCAAAAATATTTACAGTTGACTATATATATTAAAACAAAAGAAGAGGGATTGTTTAAATGCCAATTGTCTGGGATTTCTGCTGATTTTTCCCCTTTGGATTCTCATCGAACAACTCTTGCACAAAAGTGGACTCTGGGAAAAACATTATTCCTTGTTTATATTGTTTTAATTGCAACTACATTGTTGACTCTGTCGTTTGCTGAGTTTGTTCAAGTTCACCAGTCAGAAAAATAGAAACTGGTATGCTGGTGGACGTGGTGTTACCAGGTTCACACATGTCCTGTAGGGAAGCATTTCCTTACAGATTTCCTTACCATCGGCTACAATTTCCCATCCAGAAACCCCAACACCTTGATGTGAAACTATATCACCATTCCTTCACTGAAGCTGAGTCAAATTCCTCCCTAACATCAGTATGGACTGCAATGGTTCAAGAAGGCATATCACCATCACCTTCTCGAGGGGCTAATAGGAATGGTAATATGTGCAGGTGAGCCAGCAACATCCCATGAAAGTTAAATTTTTAAAACCCCAGTCTGACCTACAAGTGACTCCAGTCCCATACCAATTTGTTGAATTCTGACTAATTCTGAAAAGGTTCCCACACACCACTGCATCATCTCATTGTTCCCAATGCTCAGAATTCATGATAGGCTTCAGAGATGGATGTTCAAAATCCAACTGAGAGAAACCCTGGATAAAAGCTATTGATATACTGCAGGGTAGTTGGTGGTAACAAAGTTAGCGTCTCAAAATCGAATCTTTGGACTTGCATCAAACTTGCTGATGGAACAAATGTCATTTTTCTGGCACTGAAAAGTTGATGAATTTCCTGGGAATTAACTGGATAAAATTTCACCCATTTTCACCTATGGTCAATTTTAATTGAAACTCCCTCTGTAATTTCATCCCCTGCCTCTTGCTCCATTTTCTTTCAAGTATGTCACCATAAACCCTGCCCTCCCTCAACGGTAACTTAATTTTCTTACAATGTTTCTAAGTACAATTTCCAAACCCCCTCACTAACCCATGCCTTTGCTGATTCCGTTCTGAACATGGAGCCTGATGATTGACCCCAGGAAAGCCTCTAACTCCTGCTTACGCCCTCACTAAGATCTCAGCCTACCCAGTTCCTGCAGTGTTGAGGAGAATCACCCACATTACCTCCAGCTCCAATATGTTGCAAGGAAGTCCCAACTACATCTGACACTTTCCTCGCATTGTGAGGTGCAGTGACAGCCCCAGCGCAGGATGTTTGGATTCCGCCCGACAATTTTTGCAAACTCTTTGGGTGGTTCCCTGACTGAGTGGCCGGGTTAGAGAGTGGACTGTACCTTTCCCAACCACTGTGATTGCGTAGGCTTGCAACTGAGCCACCCAACCTCATCAGCCAAGGTGCAAACTCTGGCACAACATCTTCACAGTACTGTGCATTTGGACATCACCGAGCTGCACAGTTGCCCTCTGGAGGTCTCTCTGCTGGGCTGCTAAGGTCCAGAGTTTTCCTTCATATTCCCAATGTGTCCCCTGTGCTCTTGGCTGTATGGTGCCAGTTTCAATTGAGCCAGTGGAGAAATGAAATGAAGGTTGATTAGTCCTCATTCAGTTGAATTGCATGTTCATTAATTTGGACCTCTCCTCAGGGTGATGGGTGCCTTTGCTTCACCAAAAATTTCCCCCCTTCAGCCAACTCTGATCAAAAGTCACATGACACCAGGTTATAGTCCAACAGATTTATTTAAAATCACAAGCTCTCAGAGCTCTGCTCCTTTGTCACTTGAGAAAGGAAAAGCGCTCTGAAAGCTTGTGATTTTAAATAAACCTGTTGGACTATAACCTGGTGGCATGTGACTTTTGACCTTGTCCACCCAGTCCAACACCAGTATCTCCACATCAAGCCAACTCTGATGAACTAGAATGGTACAAAGATTCTTAGACTGAATATGAATGGGAAATCTTTACAAACAACAGTTTATAAATTACAGAAGACCAACAATTTTAGTATTGCTAAACTAAGACGCAATTTCTTGAATTTTTCGTCTGGCACACATCAGGACATTTTGCAAGAATACAAATTCAAGGGGAAAATCAACATTGTACACTGCATGAGAGTAAAGGGCTCATTTGTTGCCAAATGAAGTCTGGTTGGTAGAGGCATTGCTGATATGCTGATTGACAGATAATCGCCAGGCTTTGTTAAATTTGAGTTTGAATTTTTATTTTTGTGAAATGCCCTGATTGCGAGAGGAAACACTTTGACAAAATGTGTCTTTTTTCAGCAGTAGCAAGTTTCCATTTTACCAAGTGACTATTAAAAGACAAACAAATAAATCTTATTGTATCTTGTATAATATAAACAATGCACAGTATGATTGTATATTTGATTATATCTGATTTTTTTGACACTTTAAAAACTTACATATTGGAACATGTCACTGAAGAATTTGGGTATCTTTGCTGCTTTTTCTCAGAGTCGAGTGATCTTTGGCTTTTCGTTTTGAATAAACTTCACGGGGGGGAGCAGTTTTGCAGAGCAGAATTTTTCAAGAATGGATAGGAATTAGAGAAATAACTAATTATTGAATAAAAGTCTTTCTGGTTCTTCAGTCTTTCCTGTCAGTGTTTCATACTGTGGTGCGTTGGGGCTTCTTGAAGTAACTTAAGGATAATAAAAGTAGTACCAGGCTTTGGAACATAAGAATATTTGCATGCAACTGAGGTAGAATCAGCTTTACAATATAGGGGCAAGGCTAATCAGCCCATCATTCCTGTTCTAGTTGCAAGAGCCACCATTCAGGTCCCCTTTCTCCATAGCCTTTTCAGATTGTCTTGTTGTTTACATATTTAACATGCCTGCAGTTCGTGAAAAATATATTTTCATTAGAAAATAAAAGCAAATAAATATAAGAGTTATAGAGTCATAGAGTTGTACAGCATGGAAACAGACCCTTCGGTCCAACTCGTCCATACTGACCAGATATCCTAAATTAATCTAGTTCCATTTGTCAGCATTTGACCCATATTCCTCTAAATCCTTCCTATTCTTGTACCCATCCAGATGCCTTTTAAATGTTGTAATTGTACCAGCCTCCACCACTTCCTCTGGCAGCTCATTCCACACATGCAACATTCTCTTAGGTCTCTTAAAGCTTTCCCCTCTCACCTTAAACCTATGCCTTGTAGGTTTGGACTCCCCTACCCTGGGGAAAAGACCTTGGCTATTCATGCTATCCACGCCATTCATGATAAGAGTGAAGCAAATGAAAACATACCAGCAAACTGAGTTGAGGGGAGTGTAGACGGGGATGTTGGTAGTAGTCAAAAAACATTTTAATCAGAAGTTGGCAATTGAAATCCTATTTTAAATTGTGCTCGTTGGCTCCTGTAGAAAGACCTGTTGGTCTATCTGCATCCTTAACAAGGAATATGTCACTTATTTATCAGCAAAGGTTCTACTGATTACTGGCTGGAATCTGATTACAGATTCTGAGGATCCATCTTTACATTTGGTATTAACATGCTCCAGAACTTTTGAAAATATATCTTCACTACAAATACCCACATGCCCAATCACGTTATACTTGCTAAATAAAAACCGAAAGAACTGCGGATGCTGTAAATTGGAAACAAAAACAGAAGTTGCTGGAAAAGTTCAGCAGGTCTGGCAGCATCTGTGAAGAGAAATCAGAGTTAACGTTTTGGGTCCAGTGACCCTTCCTCAGAAGACCCTTCCAGTTCTGAGGAAGTATCACTCGACCTGAAACGTTAACTCTGATTTCTCTCCACAGATGCTGCCAGACCTGCTAAGCTTTTCCAGCAATTTCTGTTTTGGCACCTTATACAGCCATTAGGTTGCTGTAGTTATAAGAACAGAAATCTATCTTTGGATATGAATCTTGCCTCATTTGCACACCAACTTCGTCGTCATCATCTTTGGGCTTAACCCGTTTGACCCCCACATTGATTGACACCAATACAGATTGGAATCGATCTACTTATTACACTTTCCCTTCAGCCCCCAGTTCTGTGTCCTGTAAGCAAACTCCTCTGAGTTACATTCATTTTTTACAAAGCCAACTTCCTGATGATTTCTTTGTTAAGCACTCTGGGTTTGGCTGTGGTGAATTTCACAGTCACTTTGCCAGTAGTGCACATAACGTAGGAATAAAGACAAGTTTAAAGAAAAGGTTTTAAAGTTTAAGCTGTTATTAGGATTGTGTGCTTCTCCTCTCAATAAGGTTTTGCCTGTGTTTGTAGAATTGAGTCTATTGTGGAGAGGAAGACTCACTGGAGTATAATCTGGTCCCAAAACCAGCAGACCTGCAATGTACTCAGCTATTGCCTGGGACTCGAAGCATACAAAGGTTAAACAACAGTGAAGACAAAAGCTACCAGACCTGCACTCTGCACATTAAGCAGCAGTGACAATTTACAATGACCGTGCTTTCAATCAACAGATTAGAGTTTGTTCAGGTCTATAAACTACAATTGCAAACAAAGACCAGGACAATGACGCTCTGTGAAATGTTGATGTTTCAAATTTAAGTTCAGCTCACTGTTTTGTTATTTTCATGAATACTCTCTTGTGCCTCTCCCCCACCAACACCCACAAAACCTTCTTTGGAATTTTAATTTAATTTAAAGTAGGGCTCCAATTGTCAGTTCCTGACTGAAATATTCCTAGATTGCTACTAACATGACTGCTCTGAAACTCATCCACCCTCCCCCTCCCTCATCTATCCTATCCCCACCTCCCCCCCTCAGCACTCTGCTCTTTTTCTACTTGCTTCACTTTTAATTCAATTTGGGAATGTGAGTGAGATTATTTCAGGCTCCATGGCATTGCCCTAAAGCAACCCCACTGTTTGCTGAGCCCAGTGTTTCACTCTGGAGTTAATTCAGTTATTTCCC